CCACTAGTGCAGGGGTAGGCCACCTTGGCTCTTTTATGATTCGTGTACTTCAACTCCCAGAATTCCTGAGCCAGCGTGGGGGAACTATGGCCCCCTCATGACTCGTGGACTTCAACTCCCAGAATTCCTGAGCCAGCATGGCTCAGCTTGGAAACCTCTCCCTTTCCCCTCAGCATGGCTGGCTCAGGAATTCTGGGAGTTGAAGTCCACGAGTCATAAAAGAGCCAAGGTTGCCTACCCCTGGGCTAGTTAATTGTCCCCACCGTTAGGAAGTTTCTCCTTAATTCCAGGTTGCTTCTCTCCTTGGTCAGTTTCCAACCATTGTTTCTCGTCCTTCCCTTCCCCTCTCCTTTCTCCTCTCTCTCCTTTCCTTCTTTCCACAGTAGAGAAAAATAAATAAAACCGAAATGACTACTCTCTCAGAACAAAAGAGATAGCTGCAATAACCCTTTGCAATAAGAACAATATTTCCCTGGGGCTTTTAATCTCCCTCTTTAGTGATGCACTGTTAGGGGGGGGGAGACACTACACAAATAGATTTTGGGTAGGCCTCTACCCTTGAGGGAGGGAGGGGGGCAGAAGAGCCCTAGAAATTGCAGAGATCAGTTGCTGGACTTGCCCTCTGCCTACGTGGAAGTGAGGCCCTGTCTCCCACCTCTCCTAACAGCCACCATGCTCCAGGGAAGGAAAGGTAAACCAATGGGCCCTGCCGGAGCTCTCACCTGGCCTCCCACCCCTTTCCAGGTGAAGGGGGGTCTTGTTGCCCCTGCTAAAACCTCTAACATTTTGACAGAGGTAGAACAGAGCAATAGAACCGAGCCTCTGTGGAACGAGAACTGTCCTTTTCGGAACAGCAGGATCTAATCCATCAATCAGACCAGAGTTTGAAGGGACCTTGGAGGTCATCTAGTCCAACCCCCTGCTCAAGCAGGAGATCCTATGCCATTCCAGACAAGTGGCTGTTCAGTCTTTTTTAAACATCTTCATACCCAGGAATTGGGTATGTCTAGTTTAATGAAGAGAAGGACGAGGGGGGACATGATAGCAGTCTTCCGATATCTCAGGGGCTGCCCCAAAGAAGAGGGAGTCAAGCTATTCTCTGAAGCACCTGAAGGCAGGACAAGAAGCAACGGATGGAAACTAATCAAGGAGAGAAGCAACCTAGAACTAAGGAGAAACTTCCTGACAGTGAGAACAATTAACCAGTGGAACAACCTGCCTCCAGAAGCTGTAAATGCTCCAACACTGAAAGTTTTTAAGAAGAGACTGGACAGCCATTTGTCCGAAATGGTATAGGGTTTCCTGCCTGAGCAGGGGGTTGGACTAGATGACCTCCACGGTCCCTTTCAACTTTATTATTATTTATTCCAGCAAATTCAAGAGCTGTGAGCAGATGTGAAATGTAGGCAGGAGGAAATTTTGTGTCTGAAATAGAGGGCCCTTTGAATGGATCTGAATTTTAGGGAATTAATAGAAAGAACTTGGGAAATTTAGGCTCTGTCTTCTGAGATGGTCTGTTCTTTAAAAAAAAACAAAAAAACCCAACACTGTAAATTTATCTTTCTAACTCTGCTTGTGCCAGCGCCTGGCTCTTTGAGAAGGAAGATGCCCGGGAGAATCTCTGCGGCTTCCTTCTCACTTTCTGTTTGCAGAAAGATAACGTGCCTCGGATGCGAGCGGCTCAGAAGGGGAAATCCTGAGGCTGTGAACTATGCGCCGCAGCCATGTTCCCAGACGGTTTATCTCTCCGCTGGTCCTGCTTTGCATGCTGTCCTGGTTTGCAGTGGTCTTAAAGTATTAAGTAAGGTTAGAGGTCCGGAGTCTGCTCTGAATGTCATTTTCCTTGCATAGTTTGTGTTTGAGGGTAGATGCAACGGTCCAAGTTTTGAACCACAGTACTAGAAATGGAGAATAGTTACATATGGACATTCTTTAGTAGTGGGCCCCTCATCCACCGCTGCACATTGGGGACCCCCTTTTTGAGGAAAGCCTGGGTGGAAAGACCCACTGTGCTCGGGGCCTCACCGCAGGGCTACTGGGAAGCTTGCGCTAATCCCAGAGAGCAGAAAGACCCATCTCTTATTTCCATGAAGGATTAGTTGGTGGATAGACCCACCTAACCATCTTGTTGCTTGATGTGGCGTCAGAAAATTAAGGCCCTTCACACAATGCAATCCAAGGGGAGAAGGGAGTGTGGAACAAGAGGGGACTCCCCACAGTTTATTCGCTTCCCCCCTACAACTATGTCTAGTTTAACGAAGAGAAGGACAAGGGGGGACATGATAGCAGTCTTCCAATATCTCAGGGGCTGCCCCAAAGAAGAGGGAGTCAAGCTATTCTCCAAAGTGCCTGAAGGCAGGACAAGAAGCAACGGATGGAAACTCATCAAGGAGAGAAGCAACCTAGAACTAAGGAGAAACTTCCTGACAGTGAGAACAATTAACCAGTGGAACCACCTGCCTCCAGAAGCGGTGAATGCTCCAATACTGGAAGTTTTTAAGAAGAGACCGGACAGCCATTTGTCTGAAAGGGTATAGGGTTTCCTGCCTGAGAAGGGGGTTGGACTAGAAGACCTCCAAGTCCGTTCCAACTTTTTATTTTATTTTTTTATTATTATTATTATTATTATTATTATTATTATTATTATTATTATTATTATTATTATTATTATTATATTATGGATCATCGCACAGTCAGCCAGATGTTCAGACTGGTTGGCATTTTGTCTACCTATCAAGTCCTTACCAATGACCTGGGATAGGCGGATGTGGATGTTTGATGTTATTACAGATATCATTGCAGGATGGAAGCAGTTCCTATTATCATCATCATCATCATCATCACCACCATCATCATCTTGCTGGTCATTTAAAGGTGCTGTGTTAAAAGCAGAATTTGTGACCCTGAAAATTCTCCACAGACTGTTCAATCAGAAATGGTGGGGACCCTCCCGTGTAGCCGAAAGCAGTTACACGCTCATTATCAGAAATTATAATACAGCTGGAAGGGACCTTGGAGGTCTTCTAGTCTGGCCCCCTGCTCAAGCAGGAGCACTTATAC